CACAGCTCTCGGCCTGGTCCCTGCCCACGTGTTGCAGGGTCGCAGTTTGAGAGAAAATCCCGCAGATGTGGTGGTGTTGCCATGCTCAGCCCCGCTCCTGCGCCTGGCTGCTTTTCTGCTTCCACGTATCTGGTAGGGAGCATGGCAAGCAAAAGGGGGAATCTGACTCATACACTTGCTTGTTTTCTCTCCAGTGCTCATGTTTTGAGTTGGGCAATTTAAAAACTGACTTTATAACAGTGAGGGGTTTTTTTTAAAGTATATTCTACTAGTTTGTTCTTGCGTCGCTTTTATACTCCCCTTTGTGCACGCATTCAAGCAACCACGTTCTTCTAGCATAAATAATGAAAAGTGAATTTCAAGAGTGCACCTGTAAATATTAAAACCACATTTTAAAGGGGTGTGTGCTACATGTGACAGAGGTATTTGCATGCTCATCCCCTTCAGGATCAGAAACAATTCCTCAAGACTTATTTAAAAATAACAGTTACAACTTAACACTATTTGAATAGCAAATACCAGTTTTTGAATGCACACGTGGAACATTTATGATTGATACATAGCATTAAAAACAGCGCACGAGGAAAAAAATGAGGCAAGCCTCTTCAAACAGTGGATGCACTTGAAGACATCAGGACCCGCTCATGCATATTCAACTCGGGGCGGGGGGGGATGGAGGAAGGGTAAATCCATTGCATAAATTACCTGTTGCAGATTCTTTGCTCAGTTCCACTCCTTTGCAGTGGGAAGCGTGGACTGAAGCAGGGGAGCGACGTTAGACCCGGTGGAGTTGCAAAGGAGGTCGGGAGCCAGCAGCAGCAGCTTCCCCATGTCAGAGCCAGCAGAAGGGTGCAGTGCTTGCTCCTGTGATGTTTTAATGATGGGCCTGGTAAGACCCATCAGTATGGAGAGCGTAAGGGCACAAGGCCTAAAGCTAAGGACCAGGGTAAGAACTGCTGAAACTCTGTAAGGGAAGAAGGTTATGAGGGATGGAAAATCCTGCCAAAAACTCAAAGCAGACAATAAAGCAGATCTAGCCAAGTCTGAGCAAGGAGCCTGTGTGTGGGTGTCAGGACCTCTCAAAAGCAAAATAGGGAAGCGATGCAAGAAGCAACAAACCAATCTATTCTGATCCATTTTTATTTATATACTGCTGATGGAAAGCCCTACAAATGCTTTCTGCTGCTTGGATGAAAATCCAATTCAATGCATTGATAAAATTCAAGAGAAAGCAAGGGGGGATGGCAGACTGACGCAGCCCCTTCCCATGTCCCCCTCCCAGCCACCCTGAGGAAAAGGAGCCAGCAGGTTTGCAAAATCCATCATTAAAAGGCAAAAAGAGAGCTAACACGGAGAGAGAAAGGGAAGACACTGAATCATAGGCCGGGCGGGCAGAGGGGTGATGGAGCAGCAGGGATGCAGTGAGCCCCACGTGAGAAGCGATAGCAGGGTAGCAGTGGACTGGACCATGCTGGTAGCGGGCGAGAGGCTGTAAATGGTAGTGAACTCTTGTGTGACCTTGTCATATATCAACCTGTGCAGACAAGACCTATCTAACCAGGCACAAGTAGGTGTTAATAACAGCACAGGAAGAGTCTGGAGGCAAATGAGGAGAGCAGCTGCTTAACACAGTGTTTAATTCAACCGCAGAGCCGCTGCATGTCTCAGCCCATGCAACTGGCTGGTGGGGACCGAGCAACACCGTTCCCAGCCAGTGGAATAACGGACACAATTTCTTCTCTCTCCAGAACGATGTTTACTGGCTACATCTCATAACCTTTCACTGGCTCATCTTCAGTGGTCCTGAGGACAGGATCCTCTTACTTAAGTGAGGGCTGCTCTCAAGGAGCCAACTGGCACCTGTGGCCGACAAGCTTGCTCTGGCGCTGCTTTGCATTGGCAAGTCCCAGCCAACAAAAATAAGATCACACACAGTATTTTTCCCCCCTAACAAAAGGAGCACTACTACCCACTGTTGCCCAGGTACGGGAAGATTTAGAAAGAGGTCCTTCTTCCCATGCAGTAAGACATGATTTTTCATAGGGTGCAAAAAGCAGCGCCTCGTGTTGTGCCAAGTCATGCACGACAGCGTGGCAGAGGCTTTGCAGTTAGGAAATGCACTAACTGCTGGTTTGGAAAATGCCTTCTGGCTTTCCCAGAAAGGGAAATTTTCCCATTGCCCAAGTCGATACCAACAGAAAACACTAGTTGGGGGGGGGCTGCACAGTGATCCTTTTTATGCATGGTGGCACTGCCACTTTCAGTCACTTTGTTCTGCAGTGGCAAGACAGTGACCTGGACCCCCCCTCAGTCAGAACCCGCTTTTGCCCTTGGCCCGCTGAATAAATGAAGCCAGGTATTTCCACCGGTCTTGCGGGCTGCGCGGAGGCTTTGCACGCTCTGCCTTGCTGTCATTTGCCAGCACAATCCTCACTGTGAGAAACCGGCTGATCCAGAGCAGCTCAGGGCACGTCAGATTTTCTGTGCTTTTGCATGCCACTCTCTGGCTAGCTGTCTAGAGTGCTTATTCTGTCTGTTAGCTTTTCCATCACCGCAATATTCAAGCGCTTCCACCCTGTCCAGAACTCTTGCATAAAGACATTTTTTTCCTGTAGGCTAGACTCCTTGCAATTATCTATACACAAACTGATCACTCATCTGTTGGTTTGTCACAGTCACAAATTCTTGTGCAAGAGCCAACCCTTTTAGATTCACATTGTATTTGAACTCATTTTCACTTTTCTGAAACTGCATTTTCCTACCAGAGTGCTTTTTCTCAAGTAAAAAACCCCAAACCAACAAACCCAACCTTCAAAACATCAAATTGATTTGCTCTTTCTCTTGCTGCAGTATCTTTTACTGAGCAAAGTCACCTTGGGTAAGTAATTAGTGCCTCACTTTCCTCAGTAGAAAAAAGGAAACAATAATATTTTTCCATCTTTGATATCTTTAAGATGGAAAATGTTGCTCCTTATTATTTATTATAATGTTTTACACCAAAATTTAATAACATAAAACTCAGAACCTGAAGGGAAAATGTAAAAAGCGAAGGTGAGGAGAATACAGAGTG